TCAACATATTCTGTTACACCAAATACACAAAATAATGATCTTTAAAAAAGCATCATATGACCCCTTTAAGTCAGTTTTTAATGAAGCCGCTCCACACAACCTCCTGTTCACTGCTTCTTTCACTAGATATATACAGTATTGTCCAAGATCTCGCAGTCATGCTCATGCTCATTCTTAATAAACACCAGTATGTTTGTTTAAATGCATTCATTAACAAATTAGTACCATGTTGATTGAATATTGTGATGATACTGTGGATTGTATTTTGCTTAAAACAATGTTTTTCCAATTGCATTCTTTGGTTCTCATTGGGCAGTCAAACTGCTAGCCACAAATGCATACGATTGGTTGAGCCAATGTTGCTCTTTCAGGCTTTTCAGCATGTTTAAAGAAAGAGAGCAATAGCACAGAGCCACAGTGTGTTCAGACCTTAAAATAGCTTCGTTTTAGTTGAAGTAGTGCTTAAGTTAAAAAACGTCTGCATGTGTCCTTTCGTTGTAATCACACTCTCTGATTATGCTGCTCACAAAATGCTTGTATTAATTGCAAAGGTCAAATGTGATGTGATTCTTCTCTGTCAACTGATGCAGAGGCCTTGAATTGTCACTTTGGCTTTCTATCATACCATCATTCCATCAGTCCTTCACCACTCCATCATGCCTCTTTATTTACAAGCAAGTCCGGAAAGACAAGAAGTCTTTCAGGGTTAGTGAAGAAAACAAGTGGGACTGTAGGGAAATGCATCAAATGCAGTCCTGTTGAGGAGAACTGAGTTATCTAATCATCTAATCTAAGCACTGCATTATTCAGAAAACATAAAAATCTGTATTGATGTCTTTTGTGCATGCTGAAGGTGTTGTGACATGTAATGTGTAATGCAGCTGTGCGATCAACAACATAAGCTGTGAATAAGAATGTCATTCCATTTAGCTGGATAATGACAATTGCCTCTGTAAAGCCGCTTTGAAACAATCTGCATTGTATAAAGCCTTATAGAAATAAATGTGAGTTTGCTTGACTTACACCAGAACCAGATTAGGTTAGTTCCCGGTCCTTGAATCTGATTGGCTGAGTCATTCCAAGAGTGCTGATATCACCGTCCAATAGCAAATGTTTGTGTTTGTTCCAGACAGGTCAGTTTGTGTTAGTGCTGGGGGTTTTTCAGTGACTCTTTCTGCATCATTATTCCAGTAGGTGGCGACAAATGACTTGAACTAATTCGTTCAAAACACTGGATTTAGGAATGAATCAACATTTAGGAATGAATCAAATGACTGAGTAATTGAATCATTCATTCAACTGATTTGTTCAGAAACACTGATTTATTTAATAATGACACAAGTGAGTCACTGAATCATTTGTTCAACTGATCCATTCCAAACACTGATTCATTTCGGAATTAAACAAGTAGCTGAGTCACTGAATCATTCATTCAACTGATTTGTTCAGAAACACTGATTTATTCAGGAATGAAACAAGTGACTGAGTCACTGAATCATTCATTAACTGATTCGTTCAAAAACACTTTAACAAGTGGAATTAAACAAGCCACTGAGTCATTGGATCATTCACTCAATTCATTCCAAACACTGATTCATTTGGGAATTAAACAAGTGGCTGAGTTATTGAATCATTCACTCAACTGATTTGTTCACTGCTGCTGTGTGTCGCTCAGAGATGTGATGGTTGATTCTGCTGTGGTTCAGTGATGGCAATTCTGTGTTTAAAAGTCACTGAAGTTATTGAACGGTACACAATAAATTTAAATTTAAAGGTAATAATAATTTTTCTAGGCCTACTCTTTATGCTGATGGTCAGATATTCTTCCTTTGAAGCTCAAGACTCACATTGGATGATCTCAAATCACATGATCAGTAGGTTGATTTAGAAAAAGTGTGACATAACAAATACTAAGATTTTCTAAAACTCATTTTTTCCTTTTCAAAACTTGCTTGAACTAATTTGACCATCTTATTCAGCAGGTTACGCAACAGCAGGTCAGATCGAGCTCTGCTTTAAAATGTAACAAAATGATAAATATTCAAGACGGACCCTGTAAAGATCAGACGATTGTAATCTAACATAAGCCACTGCAGCCAAACTCTGAGAGGGAGACTGCAGAGGCATGAAGCAGAGGAGAGATCAGCAGGTTAGATGAGGAGAGGACGCGTCTCTTATCTGCAGGATAATGACATTCCCTGCGGCACACCACTGCTCAGTCCTTAGGCTTAGAGGAAGGCGGCTCCTAAACTGAAATGCGTTTCCTTGTTCTTTGTGTCGCAGTGAAGCCGAGTGATCGTCAGCAGAATGAGCTCTTCTCCCGTCGTCTCACGTGTGTCAGTCGACATCCTGGAGGAACTGCAGCGCTTCGCAGCTCAAAACCTGGAGAAGCTCGAGCTCAACAAATACTATGAAGTCATACGGGAGCTCGGGAAGGGCACCTACGGCAAGGTGGACCTCGTCAGCCACAAGATCAGAGGTACAGCACATTTACAGACCAGGGGTATTATAGTTAGTGCAAACTAAAGAAAACAACAACAACAGTTTCATTACATGAAATAAAATAAACAGAAAATTAAATTCTATTAAATTCTCATATTCATTTAGCTTAAATTTAAGTATTAAAATAACTGTAAAAAAAAATGCTCGACCAGTAAGAGGTTTTTAATTACATTTTAATTATCACATATGAATTTGCAAACATTTATTAAAAATGACAACCACTTTTTCTCAGTACTAATCATCCACATTTGTAAGTAAGAGTAATGGATTGCATCACAGCATCCATAATATTGGCATTATTGTATATATATACAGGGGTGCGACCAAAATAAAAAATGCGCTGGGTAAATGTCCGCATGGTGGACAGCTGTTAATGCACAAACACTGTTTTACATCGACTCACTGCAATACTGTATAAGATTTCCATTCGAACTGAAAGCATAAATCTGCCAGTTTCAGAGCAAAACACTGAAACCGGCAGCACATATACTTACCTGCCAGCAACCCGCCAAAATAAAAGCTTGCTGATTTTCAGTTTGAAATATATGAAATAAAAGAAAATGCAAATATTAGTATTGTATTTTTTTTAAAGTTTACTATAAAATAATTGTATTTTTAATACTCACTTTTTATTTTAAAATATAATGGTATGATCACATTTTATTTATTATTTTATTTAAAAAAGCAAAATAAATAAAGTGCAATAATACTATTATTACTATTATATTATCTTTTATAGTTATATTTAATGGGTCACACTATTGTTTAATGTGAGCACCAAACCAAATCTTTAAACTTACATGCATCCCTGTTTAGATAGATGGATGGATAGACGGATGGATGGATGGATGGACAGATGGATGATGGATGGATGGATAGATAGATGGATAGATAGACGGATGGATGGACGGATGGATAGACGATGGATGGCTAGACGGATGGATAGACAGATGGATGGATGGATAGATGATGGATGGATGGATGGATGGATGGACAGATGGATGGATAGACGGATGGATGGATGGATAGACGGATGGATGGATGAATGGATAGACGGATGGATGGATGGATAGACGGATGGATGGATGAATGGATAGACGGATGGATGGATGGATAGACGGATGGATGGATGAATGGATAGACGGATGGATGGATGGATAGACGGATGGATGGATGAATGGATAGACGGATGGATGGATGGATAGACGGATGGATGGATGAATGGATAGACGGATGGATGGATGGATAGACGGATGGATGGATGAATGGATAGACGGATGGATGGATGGATAGACGGATGGATGGATGAATGGATAGACGGATGGATGGATGGATAGACGGATGGATGGATGAATGGATAGACGGATGGATGGATGGATAGACGGATGGATGGATGAATGGATAGACGGATGGATGGATGGATAGACGGATGGATGGATGAATGGATAGACGGATGGATGGATGGATAGACGGATGGATGGATGAATGGATAGACGGATGGATGGATGGATAGACGGATGGTTGGATGGACGGATGGACGGATAGACGGATGGATAGACGATGGATGGATAGACGGATGATAGACGGATGGATGGATGGATAGATGATGGATGGATGGATAGATAGATGGATAGATGATGGATGGATGGATGGATGGATGGACGGATGGATGGATAGACGGATGGATGGATGAATGGATAGACGGATGGATGGATGGATAGACGGATGGTTGGATGGACGGATGGACGGATAGACGGATGGATAGACGATGGGTGGATAGACGGGTG